TGAATCATGCCTCAAACATGTGCCACTTTCAGGTCTCCTCACACTGCTGGTGTGTTGAATTTTTTGACATAGGGTGCTGGCAGATTACGGGCCTCCCATAGCTGCTGCCAGGCCCCTAATCTGCCATGGGCCCCTATATACCGCCTCCTCATGCTGCTGCCAGGTCCAGAGTCTCTCATGGGTCCCTGTACGGCCTCCCATTGCTGCTGTCTCCATCGCCACACTCTGCCATGTGCCACTTTCAGGTCTCCTCACACTGCTGGTGTGTTGAATTTTTTGACATAGGGTGCTGGCAGATTACGGGCCTCCTATAGCTGCTGCCAGGCCCCTAATCTGCCATGGGCCCCTATACCGCCTCCTCATGCTGCTGCCAGGTCCAGGTCCTCAGTGTCTCATGCCATGTGCCACTTTCAGGTCTCCTAACACTGCTGGTGTGTTGAATTTTTTGACATAGGGTGCTGGCAGATTACGGGCCTCCTATAGCTGCTGCCAGGCCCCTAATCTGCCATGGGCCCCTATACCGCCTCCTCATGCTGCTGCCAGCCAGAGTCCATGGGTCCCTGTAGTCCCATTGCTGCTGTCTCCATGCCATGTGCCACTTTCAGGTCTCCTCACACTGCTGGTGTGTTGAATTTTTTGACATAGGGTGCTGGCAGATTACGGGCCTCCCATAGCTGCTGCCAGGCCCCTAATCTGCCATGGGCCCCTATATACCGCCTCCTCATGCTGCTGCCAGGTCCAGAGTCTCTCATGGGTCCCTGTACGGCCTCCCATTGCTGCTGTCTCCATCGCCACACTCTGCCATGTGCCACTTTCAGGTCTCCTCACACTGCTGCTGGTGTGTTGAATTTTTTGACATAGGGTGCTGGCAGATTACGGGCCTCCCATTGCTGCTGCCAGGCCCGTAATCTGCCATGGGCCCCCGTACCGACTCCTCATGCTGTGACGTTGCAACAAGGTGGAATTCAACCCTACATATGTTAGACCGCCTTTACGAACAGCAAAAGGCCATCACAGATTTCCTGATGTTAAAAGCGGATAAAGGTACTCCCTGTGTAACTTAGATGTCAGCCATTGGCAGCTCATGCGTGACACCTGCGCTTGCTCAGGCCCTTTGAGGAGGCCACGCTATTCGTGAGTCGGCAGGACTATGGGATGAACGACGTCATTCCTCTGTTGCACGTCCTGGAACAAATGCTGTTAATAATGGCTGGTCAGGGTGCGGTAGACGTGGCGCACAGATCTCAACGCCACATGACCCCTGTGGGGGCAGGACAGGAAGAAGAGGAGGAGGTAGAGGAGGACATTGGTGCTCAGGAATTATTGAGTGAAAATGGGTGGTTTTTCCACTCAGCGGACAGGAGTGGAGGAGCAGGAGCATCTGGTAGAGGAGGAGGAAGAGGAGACAGAGGACCCAGACGCACCGTGGCAGTATGCTGTGGAGATGGAGGCAGGGAGTCCCTCGCATTCCTTGGCACAAATGGCCCATAGCATGCTCTCGCTTGCTTGCGTACCGACAGCCGAATAATAACCATCAGACAGAGGGATGACTTTTGGCTGTCCACCTTGTTGGACCCTCGCTACCGTTCCAAAATGGTGGCCTTTTTCACACCTGCTGAGAGGGAGGCCAAAATAACGTACTATAAAAACCACCTATGTAGTCAGCTGGTCTCTGCCTGTCTGCGCCAACGTCCATCCTCAGACACTGTGGGCCCTGTGCGCTCGCGTTACGCTGCCATGGCAGCAGGGGAGGGGTGGGGTGGTAGGAGCAGTGGCAGCTCCACCAGCAGCAGCTGCCTCAGTCTGCAGTCGATGATGAGTAGCTTTCTTCACCAGCGCAGTGAGGAAACTAATAACCAGCCGCAGCAGCAGCAGCAGCAGCATCAGGTGGACCTGGAGCAGGACCTCAAACAACAGGCTTAGGCCTACTTGGACAGCACCCTGCCAACCGAGGTAGACAATCCCCTTGACTACTGGGCAACGAAACTTGACCTTTGGCCCCAACTAGCTGAATTTGCCCTTGAAAGGCTGTCATGCCCGGCCAGTAGCGTGGCATCGGAGCGCGTGTTTAGTGCGGCAGGAGGTATTGCAACTCCGCGGAGGACACGACTGTCCACCCAAAGTGTGGAGAGACTCACGTTTGTGAAAATGAATCAGGCGTGGATTAGTCTGGATTTCAAACCACCAGTTCCTGACACAACTGACTAAATCGCCATGAATCATGCCCCAAACATGTGCCACTTTCAGGTCTCCTCACACTGCTGGTGTGTTCCATTTTTTGTCATAGGGTGCTGGCAGATTACGGGCCTCCCATAGCTGCTGCCAGGCCCCTAATCTGCCATGGGCCCCTATACCGCCTCCTCATGCTGCTGCCAAGTCCAGAGTCTGTCATGGGTCCCTGTACGGCCTCCCATTGCTGCTGTCTCCATCGCCACACTCTGCCATGTGCCACTTTCAGGTCTCCTCACACTGCTGGTGTGTTGAATTTTTTGACATAGGGTGCTGGCAGATTACGGGCCTCCCATAGCTGCTGCCAGGCCCCTAATCTGCCATGGGCCCCTATACCGCCTCCTCATGCTGCTGCCAGGTCCAGAGTCTCTCATGGGTCCCTGTACGGCCTCCCATTGCTGCTGTCTCCATCGCCACACTCTGCCATGTGCCACTTTCAGGTCTCCTCACACACTGCTGGTGTGTTCAATTTTTTGTCATAGGGTGCTGGCAAATTACGGGCCTCCTATAGCTGCTGCCAGGCCCCTAATCTGCCATGGGCCCCTATACCGCCTCCTCATGCTGCTGCCAGGTCCAGAGTCTCTCATGGGTCCCTGTACGGCCTCCCATTGCTGCTGTCTCCATCGCCACACTCTGCCATGTGCCACTTTCAGGTCTCCTCACACACTGCTGGTGTGTTCCATTTTTTGTCATAGGGTGCTGGCAGATTACGGGCCTCCCATTGCTGCTGCCAGGCCTGTAATCTGCCATGGGCCCCCGTACCGCCTGGTCACGCTGCTGCTGGGTCCACAGTGTGACATGGGTCCCTGTACCGCCTCCCATTGCTCCCACTCTGCCATGTGCCACTTTCAGGTCTCCTCACACTCCTGCTGGTTTCCATTTTGTCATAGGTTGCTGGCAGATTACAGGCCTCCCATAGGTGCTGCCAGGCCCCAAATCTGCCATGGGCCCCCGTACCGCCTGGTCACGCTGCTGCTGGGTCCACAGTGTGACATGGGTCCCTGTACCCCATTGCCTCCCATTGCTCCCACTCTGCCATGTGCCACTTTGAGGTCTCCTCACACTCCTTCTGGTTTCCATTTTGTCATAGGTTGCTGTATGGCCTCCCATTGCTGCTGCCTCCACCGCCACACTGTGGCTCCAAACACTGGTTTTGGCCCCGTGACTGGCCAAATGAGTGAAGTGTGCGGTGATTCTAAGATCGACGGCACTCATCTGCATGTCATACTGACTGACAGTATTATTTCTCTTCCCCAGCAGACTCCAAGGGCATTTAAATTAAAGGTACAGTGTTCTGCACTAATATTAAGTCTCTCTGAAGCCTAGAAACACCCTTTTTTAAGTTAAATTCACAGCGAATATATTCGACTCGAATCGAATATTGTCCACGAATTCGCCGAATCAGTCGAATCGAATTTTTGAATACTTCGCTCATCTCTACTGTCAATCACAGCCAGTAAGATGGGAGTGTGTGTGTGTGTGTGTTTTTTATAGACACACAGAGGCAGCCTGGGAGCAAGCGTGCACAAGTGCCCCCAGAGCAAGCAGCTTACTCTGGGGGCCCTCAGCAGGGGGGGGGAGCCAGGGGCGACGATGGGGACCCAAGAAGAGGAGGATCATGGCTGCTCTGCTCAAAACCAGAGCAGGTAAGTATGACATGTTTGTTATTTTTAAAACAAAAAATTAGAAAAGTTTAGTACCACTTTAAAGAATACACTTCTGACACCACCCTGCCCATAGACTGTTGAAGGAGCAGCAGAGGACTCCTGTAAGCTTGTTCCCTGTCATCGTATTTGCATGGACCATACCTGATTGGGTCCAAGTGCTGCCCATCCCTCTTCCAATGCTGCTGTACAGGGGAGTGTATGAGTATGAGACCAAGTCAAATTCCAGTGATCACGCTAGCTACAAAAATGTATTAAGGGATTTGATAATAAATACATAAAAGAATTCATCAATCTTTTACATCTACCTGTGGTTCAGCTTTAATATTGTTACATTTATTTGTGCTTTTGTATTGTCTGAGACAACATGGAATCCCCCATTAATGTCAATGTTTTAGTGGCTAGCTTTATCGTTTTAGGATTTGTTCTTCAAACTCATCTGAATTACACAGCCTTGATTAGGTTGAGCAGCTTTAGCACAGCTTTGCAAATGTTAAGGTGCCCATACACGCTTCCATTTTATTATCAGATTGATGTGCGATTTGAGTAAAAAAATTGATTCAGAAACTAATCGAATAGCCATACCTGCCCTCCCTATTGATATAGACTGGATCTGATCAAACTGAGCCAGGGTAGAATATTATCGATAATTTTGCATCAATTGGCAGCACCAAGATGCTTTGTTCTTGAATACAATTGCAATTTGTTTGATCGGATTATGAAATTACACATGGAAACAGAGAAATGATCGATAATTTATGAACTATGCATGTGACTTATGATTGTATCTTAACTAGAAATCAAATTCTACTTCCCAGTATGTGCCAAATTGTTTAAATCTGTTGCCGACTATAGATTGATTATTCCTATTGAAAGAGATCGATCTGAAAAGAAATTTAAAGCATGTATGGTCATGATTAAGGAGTAGGACATTTACATATGAATGGTCGTGTTACCATAGCTTTGGCATGCTTCTGAATCCCTGATAGTAGATTGTTCTATGTAACCCCCACTATTCGTGTATTGTTGTGAACAAGTCCTTAGTAGATATTTTTATGTTTTAACTTAAATGATGCTTGTCCAATTAACTCCGTCTTTGTTTTCCAGTATGTTCTGTCTATTCTGAAATTCACCTATCCTACCCTTTTTCAAGGGTAAGTATTTTATTTACATGGGTATATTTAATAATGGAAATAGAAAATCATTCTGTAGTACTTTTGTCAGTTGGATCATTATTTGGTGTCACTTAAGCAGACATAAATTGAAACATATTAAAACATTTAAAAAAACAATAGTCCGCATGCCATGCCCATTTTTAATTAGTTGTGCTTTACCAGCTGAAAGTATGGATAAGAGAACAATTGCTTCCCAAAATGGATTATATTATTTCAATTACATAGAAAAGCTTTAGCTGGGTTGTCCTTATATTTAGTATAGCACCAACAATTTATGCAATGCTTTACATACTGTTCATTCACATAAGTCCGTGTACACCAGGGGTGCTCAACATGTGTCCCTTGGAGCCCTCTGATGTGGCCCTTGACCTCAAACCAGGGAAGAACACTTCTGTTCTATTCTGCAGATTTGGTGCGCATTCAGAAAGTGCACTACATCCACAAGATATAATAGAAGTCTATGGCAAAGTGCAGCTAACCCACAGGAAAGCCACGGATGCAGGTAAACCACAGCACATCAGTGTGAAAGCAGTCTTATGGGGGAGGGGCTCAGGCCAGTAAGGGCTCATTTACATTTACTGGTGTAGCAATAGGGGTCACAATGGTGACCCCGCCCAATGCTCCAGGGGGCCCATGTGGCCTCCCTGTCACATTCTGTTTTACACTTGGACAGGAGGGGCAGTGGGGACAGCATATACAGGAACCGATCCTCTCTATTTTCCCCCTTCAACCTCTGAAAGTTGGCTTCTCTCTCCGCTCCCTCCAGGTGAAATTCAGCAGCTACAGGAGCAAAATGTTCCTTATGCTATTCAAAATAAAAAAATAGAAATTCTGAACCATTTCATTTCATTTGTGGCCAGCTAATGGTTACCAAATCACTTAGTGACCCTCACCCTTCAAAAAAGGTTGAGCACCCCTGCTGTACTCAAAGAACTTACAGTCTACGGTTTCTTACTCATACACATGTCTATGGAGTACGGGAAGAAATCTACAAAAGTACAGGGAGAGTATGCAAACTCCATGTAGATGGCATCCTGACCAGGATTCAAACTGAGGACATCAGTACTGCAAGGCAGAAATGCTAACCAGTAAGCCACTGTGCTACCCTGCATTTAGTTAATGCTAATGTCCAGTCTTGGATAGTGTGGGAGAGAACCTTTGCAGGGCAGATGTGATATCAGTCCCTGCTATGGAGACTTCTTATTTATGGTCTCAATGACACCTGTCACTTGTTTAGGAAGTAAGGGGAGGCTCCTCAGCAGTGTGCTGATATACATTCACGGTCCAGTGAGTGGGAAGGAAATGATTGTGTTACCCTCCCTACTATGATTTGTGACAGTGGTGTGCAAATCTTTGAAAATAATTACAAATATGTTGGTAGAAAAATATTACCATCCATGTGTTTCGACTGTATATTAGGTGAAAAGCAGCAAAGTGATCAGATGTGATTTTCTTCTTTTCACTGCTGCCTTCTTCCCTAGGTCTTCTGGTTGCACCAAATCCAGTGATATCATCCCTCCCCCCCACTCGCACATATAGTAAGGGTCTATTAAATGAGCATTATATAAATAAACCAGAACAAATAATCTAGTTCAATACAGCGCTAAATGCATATTTATCCCCTAAGGCCCTGTTCATATCTCGGGCAGAATTGCTGCCTGGTCCCAAATCGTCTAGTAATCACAACACTCGTTTGGGAGCCATTATTCACCAGTTATTATCTGCTGCACTGGCAGTGCGGATTGAAAGAGTCCTGTCCGATTTCTGAGTAGTGCGGTCCATTTCAGCTGTGGATTATTAAATTGCACATGTCATCAGTTGTGAACAGGGTAAAATACTGACCTGAACCTGATCTAAACCTGACATGAACCGCTGAACATGCAGATTCACATGTGTGGTGCGGATTGAAGCTCAGCTAATTGATATAGTAGTTGTTCAGCGGTGCAGGTCAGGTTTACATCAGGTTCAGGTCAGGATTTTATCCTGTTCACAACTGATGACGTGCGGTGTAGAAACGGTTCCCATAGAAGTCAATAGCCTGTATCCGCACTGAATCTACACTGCCAGTGCATCGGACATATGTTAACAGGCACCATAGGAAGCAATGGTTTTTCAGATGTCATTCAGATTGGATGCAGTTCAAACAGCATCCAATCCACATATACATGAACCGGCAGCTGTGAAACCTGAGCTTCAATCTGCACCGCACATGTGTGAATCAGCAAAATGTCTTATTCAATCCACCCTCTATCCAATAACCTAACCATACCATAATTCATAAAATTCACTGAGGTCCATATCAACGTGGCAACACTGTAGCTGGCAATAACTTGCCAGTGACAATAGCATTAAGAAAATGCTGTGTCCACGTCCTTCTTTCTTGCTGGGCGGGTGGGCACGGTGTCACTCCCTTATTGATGGAAAGGAGCAGGATCTCGTTCTCTGTTGATGGAGCAATTGAAAAGCGATCCCGTCACTAGTAAGTTGTCATTAAAGCAGTGTTCCGCTCACGCTGTAAAAAAAAACTAAAAGCAGCTATAAAAACTGTAGATGCTGACTTTTAGAAAACATACACTCACCTGCCCCACGATCCCGCAGTGCCCCAGTCGCAGCCCATTTCACTGGCCGTCCTATATTTCAGGCGCCGGCATCTTCAGTGTGGGCACCCGGCTGTGACAGCTTGAGGCTTCACAGCCGGGTGCCCACTGCGCATGCGCGAGAAGCGATGTGCCTCCTGAATGGCCCCGTCTTCCTCTGGGACCTGTCACGTGTCCCTCAAGACTACGGGGAGGGAGGGTAGGAGGACAACTTCCTCTTCTGATTGCCTAGGCGATCGCAGCAGAAGTGGGAGCGGGTACCTATCAATTTCAGGTACCTGCTCACCCCTCCTGCTCCCCAAAGGTGCCAATCCTTAATGGGAAGCGGGGGGACGAATCTTTAAAGCGGAACTTCCCCTTTTGGGTGGAACTTTGCTTTAATGCATTCTGCAATTGTAGCAGAAGTGTCCTGTGCCAGGTTCTCATGTGACCTGTGCCCACAACAATATCCTGTTTCTTTTTCCTTCTAAAGGTGAATAAATAATATTCATTGACTGAAGTGTCATTGCCTCCATTCATATGTTCTTTCTTTCTTAGTACCTAAACTGAAGATTATTGTCATTTGTTTCTTGCAGGTGGCAGACATTAGTGGGCGGAGTCTTTCTTCATATATGTTGGAAGATAGGCTGGGTAGAGATTAACTGTTCTTCCAGGTAAATGTAACTTTTTTTTCCCTCTGGTATACTCAGTGGGGTTGTTAAAAATCCACAAACTTACACCCCTTTCTGGAATTTATACCTGTTTTCATATTAGCTTGGCAAGGGGGAAAAGTGTTTTGTTTGTTTTTTTTTAAAATCTAAATGCTGTTAGGGGTTTTTATTTATCTATATCACACATTATTTACACAGTAAAATGTTGGAAAATGTTATACACATTGTCAGGATAACAGTCTTTTTTTTTCATTGTTTCTTGGGGTCAACCAGTGTTTCTCAAATAGGGTACTGACTGGGTGTGTTCACTTCAATCTTCAAGTTACAGTGCTGTGAAAAAGTATTTTCTCCCTTGTTGATTTTTTTTTTTTTTTGCATATTTGTCACACTTAAATAATTCAGATCATCAAACAAATGTTAATATTACACAAGTAAACACAAAATGCAGTTTTTAAACAATGGTTTCATTTATTAAGGGGAAAAAAGCTGTCCAAACCTGCCTGGCCCTATGTGAAAAAGTGATTTCCCCCTACAATAAATGGTTGTGCCACCCTTAGCGGCAACAACTGCAACCAAGTGTTTGCAACAACTGGCAATTAATCTGTGGAAGAATTTTGGCCCACTCTTCTTTGCAGAATTGTTTTTATTCAGCCACATTGGATGGTTTTTGAGTATGAATAGCCTGTTTAAGGTCATGCCACAGCATCTCAGATTTAGGTCCAGACTTTGACTAAGCCACTCTAAAAATCTTAATTTTATTTATTTATTTATTTTTTTGAGCCATGCAGAGGTGGACTTGCTGGTGTGTTTTGGTTCATTGTTCTACTGAATAACGCAAGTGTGCTTGAGGTCCTGAACTGATGGCCAGACGTTCTCCTTCAGGATTTTCTGGTAGAGCACAGAATTCATGGTTCCATCAATTATGGCAAGACGTCCAGGTCTTGAAGCTGAAAACAATTCCCCAAACCATCACACTACCACCACTATGTTTGACTGTTGGTATGATGATTCTTTTTAATTGAATGCTTTGTTAGTTTTACGCCAGATGTAACAGGACGCACACCTCCCAAAAAGTTCAACCTAAGTCTCATTGGTCCACAGAATATTTGCCAAAAAGTGTTGGGCATAATCAACATGTTTTTTGGCAAATGTGATATGAGCCTTTGTGTACCTTTTGGTCAGCAGTGGCTTTTGCCTTGTAACTCTCCCATGGCTGCCATTTTTGCCCAGTCTCTTTCTTATTGTTGAATCATAAACAATGACCTTAACTGAGGCTAGTGAGGTCTGCAGTTCTTTAGATGTGTTCTGGGTTCTTTAATGACCTCCTGTATGAGTTGTAGTGATTTTGGTAGGCTGGCCACTCCTGGGAAGGTTCACCACTGTTCCAAGTTCACGTTTTCTCCATTTGTGGATACTGGCTCTCACCATGGCTCTCTGGAGTCCCAAAGCCTTAGAAATGGCTTTGTAACCATTTCCAGATTGATACATGTTAATTACTTTGTTTCTCATCTGTTCTTGAATTTTTTTAGATCACAGCATGATGTGTTGCTTTTTTTTTAGATCTTTTAGCATGCTTCACTTTGTCAGACTCTTCTATTTAAGGTGTCCGTTTATGAACCAGCGGTAAATGTTCGCTGCTCAGTTCTCTGGAATTCTTGGAGAACACAGTTCTCCTGTGAATGCCTTATATGAAGCAGTGTAGATCATTTCTCCAAATGAAGGGAGAACGGTCTACAAATGCTGGAAAATGGCTGATTTTACTATAATCTCACAAGATTACAGTAAAAGATCATTTTGCTAAGCAGAGGTAAATTATCGCTGCTTAGTTTGCGGTTCCTCCGATTCTCCAGCTCTGGGCTGGAGAATCTGGAGGGAGAACACAGATCTCCAGTGAAGGGCTGAACATGTTCTCCGCTGATCTCCTGAGTGTCATAAACTGTGAATGACCAGAGAATAGCTGAGATCCTCTGAATCGCACCTATTCTCTGTGTCATAAACGGACACCTTAGGGATTTCTTGGTTCAAAAGCTCTGGCAGTATTTGGTCTGGGTGTGGCAAGTGAAATTTAACTCAGCTTTCCAAAAAATGTGGTTAACCACAGTTCATTCATGATTTAGCAAGGGAGGGCAATTACTTTTTTCACATAGGGCCAGGCAGGTTTGAACAGCTTTTTTCCCTTAAAGTATAACTAAAGGCAAAACATTTTTTTTAGTTTTGAATAGATTGAGTTTTTAGATTGAATAGAGGGATTAGAACACCTGTCAGTTTTTATTGCTGTCTGTGTCCCCATTAAGGAGATTACCCCTCTCTATTTGTTCTGTTTACCATTACCATTGAAAGTGAACATAAATGAAAATCCCAAATTTTTGGGTTGTCCCCAGAAACGTACTGGAAGGGAATCTTCCAATGGGGACACTAGTTCTGGTGACCTAGGAATCCCTAAGGAATACCGTTAATTTCATTTCCTCTCACTTCCTGTTTGGCTATGGGACAGGGCGTGAAGGGAAATCTCCGCATTGGGAAACAGTAGAAAAAAAAACTAAGAGGGGTTATAACTCTCCCTTACTCTATCCAAAATGAAAAAAAAAATTTACTACAGTTCTACTTTAATAAATTAAATCATTTACACTCTGCATTTTGTATTTACTCGGGTTATCGTTGTGCAATATTTAAAATTGGTTTGATATGAATCATTTAAGCGTGACAAATATGCAAAAGATTTAGAAGGGGAGCAAATACTTTTTATCACAGCACTGTATGTACAAGAGCAAAATCTGTGGGTTTTTTCCTTTCCCCAACTCCAAGTTTAATTAGTCTGTCAGAGTACACACACATTCAAGGGTACCGTGATTACAATGTCTCAGTGAGTTCAAGAATACAAGAATGTTCAACAGCATCCCTGTACAAGTATACATTTCCAGAAAAACAGAAATGATGTAGTGCCGTATAGACTTGCATGCCAAAATCAGTTAAGATGTAGAAATACTTTTCAAAAACAACAAAAAAGAACCATGGTAGAACAATGATGGGCATGACTGTCTCCCCAAAGGCCTACCTCAAATTGTCAAAAATAAATACATTTCAGCAAAACCTCCATTTTCCCAACATTTACTCTCACCTGTTTTTACTACGCCCTATGCATCAAGGTTCAGTATTTCTCAACCAGGGCTCTGTGGAATTCCTCCGGAGGTTGATAGCAATGACCGATTACTCTACCACCTGAAGGTACCTGCATAATTTTGTTTCATAGCTGATGTCACTCTGCAGAGCCAGCAATGTTAGTCCAGTGGAGTCTCTGCTATTGACTCAAATAATTAACTGTTGACATCAATAAACTTTTAAGCTGTCTGTGAGGGCCATTTTTCCCCTTGACCCCCCCAATGAAAGGAGCTACATCTCCATCCGGCCACCAATGAAAGGAGCCATTCTACCACTGGTGGTCAATATAGGGGGGGGGCCTTCTGCCACTGACCACCAATGTAAGGGCAGGTCTTACTCTGATCACACTAATGTAATGGGAGTTGTAGATTAAACTTAAAGTAAAATTATTCTTCCCTCCACTCTAGTGATGTGTCCTGGAGCACCCCCCCCCCCCCCCCCCCCCCCGCTGCCTTCCGCCCCTTTACCAGGACATCCTGTCCCACTGGGAGTCAAGACTGCCTAGCTAGCGCTGTTGCCAGCTAGTCACAGAGCTGATCAAAGACCAGATTGACTTTGTTCAGCTCCGTTAAACAACAAACTAGAAGTGATTACCTGACATCGCTTGCGGTTTACTCGGAAACAATCAGCATCATTTTGAAAATTAAATGCATTCAATCACACCAATCTTGGTGTGATTGAATGCTTTTAAGGGCAGAGGAGGGATTTGGGGTTTTATTGAGCCCAGATCTCTCCATAAAAAGTAAATATGTATAAAAGTGTTATGCTGCTCAAAAAACACAAAGTCCAAATAACACCTATGTGCATATAATTGTAAAAGTCCAACATAAAAAGTCCAATTGAATAAAGGAAAAACAACAGGAATTCGTGGTGGAAAGGACCATGTATCTACTGGAAAGCAAACCCACAATCTCAGTGCTGTAAATCTTTAAAGGAATACACCGCCATGGTGAGTGTATGGTAAAAATGGATCCTCATCTTCATATGTGGACCTGTATGAGAAACAGGTCAATAGGGCATCTCCCCTCTAAGTGGGGGTAATGAAGTGATCTCTTCCATGCACAAAATCTTCCCTTTGTATATGGTCACCGTGTCCTTCAACAAGCCCTCTAAACAGTCAGGCCGATTCTGCAAATGGAACTGGTCCGGGTATCTCTTCAGGGCTCCTAGGGTGAGTGGCGCACAGGGAGAGGCCTGCACTCACGTTCCATTTGCAGAATTGGCTTGACTGTTTAGAGGGCTTGTTGGATGACACAGGGACCATATACAAAGGGAAGATTTTGTGCATGGAAGAGATCACTTCATTACCCCCACTTAGAGGGGAGATACCCTATTGACTTGTTTCTCATACAGGTCCACATATGAAGTTCCATTTGCAGAATCGGCCTGACCGTTTAGAGGGCTTGTTGGAGGACACAGTGACCATATACAAAGGGAAGATTTTGTGCATGAAAAAGATCACTTCATTACCCCCACTTAGAGGGGAGATGCCCTATTGGCCTGTTTCTCATACGGGTCCATATATGAAGATGAAGGTTTATTTTTGCCATACACTCACCGTGGCAGTGTATTCCTTTACAGATTTACAGCATTGGGATTGTGGGTTTGCTTTCCACTAGTTACATGGTCCTTCCCACTAAGAATTCCTGAAGAGTTGTTTTTTCTTTATTCATTTGGACTTTGCGCATTTATATGCACATAGGTGTTATTTGGACTTTGTGTTTTGTATTTGTGTTTTTTTGAGCAGCGCAACACTTTTACACATACTGTATATATTAAGTTTTATAGTTGAGCACACATCCCATGTGTTGGCAGCAGCTTATTCACATTTGAGTTTATTTATT